ATGCCCACTTCTCTAACCTTTCCCGGACGATAATTTACCGTACCGTGCTTTCTTCCTACTCATTTTTTTTTTTTTATTCCTTCTCCCCACCTTTTACCTTTTTTTTTTTTTTAGTAGGAAGATACCTTCTTTTTGTAAACTAAAGAATGGGGCGGGAGGGGTAATCCGAGGCGTTTCTCTCTGTCCGTCTGTCTTCCCCCCTCTCTCCCTCCCCTGTTTTAAAACCCCTTAGTCAGAGGCAGGGTGCAAACTAAAAGCCACCACCACCACCACCTTTAGGAGACAATCCGGCCCGCCGCACACCTGCCTTGCTGGSCGGCAGAGCAGACAGGCAGGGACAGGCGCTGTCGGGACGGACGGCCGCGGGAGCGGGCCGGTTCGCCCCTCGGTAGTGCCCGCGGCGGCAGAAGACGAGCGGCTGCTGCAGGGGGACCATCTTGCCGCTGCTCCTCCGGCGGCGTCTCCGTGCGGCGGAGGGGCCGGCTGGGAGGGGAGGGAGAACCTGCTGCACGGGGGCTCTGTTTACGTACACACATAGCTGCGAGCGGGGAGTTTCTCCTGCCGGCGCGTCCTGCGAGCTGCCTGGAGAATCCCGAGCCGGATCTCAGGGAGAGGAGAGCCGAGGCAGGGCATGAGTTTTAGTGGGAAAAGCAGCGCTTTGCTGAGCTCTCGGGCAGCGCGGTGGTGGTGGCGGCAGCAGCCGTCCTGCGCCGCGGCGGCTCCCGCCTGGTCCTACTTCGGTGGCAGCTGGTCGCGGCCCATCCTGGACATGTCCTACTCCCGTCACTTTCTGGATTTCCAGGGCTCGTCCATCCCCAGCTCCATGAAGAAGCTGGTGGTGACTAAGCTGAGCCAAAACTTCAGGGAAGCGGTCACCCTGCAGCAGGACTCGCCCGTGCCACTCCCGGGAGACGGAGAYCTCCTGGTCAGGAACAGGTGAGCCCCCGCCCGCCCCCCCGCGCCCCGGCCCCGCGGCCCCCGCCGACTCCTGGCATCTTGTGGCCTGCTCTCTCCCACATGCTCCCCCACTTCGGAGACCGGCTCCAAAGTTGTACCAGCCGCCATCTGGCGACTGTTAATTTCATTTTATCGTTGTTGTTGTTGTTTTGAACGGCTGGTGCTACAGCCCTGTCGCCCTATCCACGTGTGTGGGGGTGACACCTCCTCCTCCTGTGATGGGGCTGTGTGTGTTTGTCTGTCTGTGCGCGCTGCTCCCAGCGTGCCCCTGCCCGAAGGAAGAGAAACACCCCAGGGCCAAGGTGGGGGGGAAGTGGCGAGTGTTACTTTCGGCGAGTGCCGAGGAGGGAGTGAGACGGCGGGAAGCGCTCACAGGGCCCCTCCATGGGCCCTGCCCGGGCTCGTTACACGCACGTAATGCCCGGGGTGTGAGCGTGTCCCCGGCGCACCCGCACAGCGCCCCGGCATCGCAGTGTGCGGGCGGGYCTGCCCCGGCCGCTGTGTGCTCACTGCGGCCCGCACGCCGCTCTCCGGCCTCGCCCCGTCCAGCCGCCACTCGCCGGGGAGGCCGCGGGCCGGGCCCTCCGCCCGGGCAGCCCCGGCACCACCCCCAGCTCTGCGCGCCAAGCGGAGGGGGCAGGGCAGCCCTCGGCCTCCCTGGCAGGACGCGGGCCCGTGCTTGTTGGCGCTTTTAGAGAGGAGCCGGGTCAGGCGAAGAGTGAGGAGGTGACATTTTGCTTAGCATAATACACCGTAAATCCCACGCCCGGCGCGGTGACCAGCTCGCCGTGAAATGAATATTCCGAGGACAAAATGTTCCTCTGCTCGCTGCTGTCTCCATAAAACCTGTTTGTTCTCGGTGGTTCCTTCCTAGACGCCGTCGTTCCTTGCGCTAAAACTAAACCTTTTAAAGTTCAGAGGTTTCCTCACGAGGGGAAGCTGAAACTCCGGGAACTTTGGAGCAGACTGCGTGGCTGGCACGGGAGCGAGCAGCGCTCTCAGGTTCTTGTCAAGCAAGGAAATCGTAGTAACACATAGTTTGCCACGCTCGCCGTGGGAGCCTAAAGATGCAAAGCAGCGCTAAGTTGGCTTGAGAGCAGTGCTGCAAGTTCGACTAAGGCAGGGGGTGACTGTTTATGTATGTGTGACATACGTATATGTGTCCGCATGTAACACACWAATACAGGGTGAAGAAGAGGTCAGGAGAAGGAACGGGGACTCCACCCGGAGTTCATGAGAAAGGTGCTGTAGTACTTTATTCGATGCTGACATCTCCCACTAGGATTTCAGAGACCAAAATTCCCTCCAAACCTCAAAATTCCCTCCAAACCTCAAAATTCTAAAAACACTGTTGCTTCATCCACTAATGACTGAAACAATAATGGTGTGAAACAGCTATCAGGCTGGAGTTAAATTCCTTTTTGTGAAAGAAGTCGAAAGACTTGAGATACAAGTAGCAAGTAGTCTACTCGGGTAATGCAAGGCAGAGCAATATCCTTGTTTCTCAAATCCCCTCCCCCTACACATGCCCTTGGAGTCTTTCGCATCCAATGCTCCCCACCCGC